CACATTCTCAAGTAGAAGACACATCCACTAAAAACAAAGAAACATACTGAGATGTGAATGAAGCTGAGAGATGTAAGTAAAAGGTTTGAAGTAAAACTAATATCACCCTATTTTTTAACACCAGCGAGAGGCCAGCAAACCCTGGTGACCCGTGAAGCCTGTCGCCCACGCGGTGCCAGGCTTGTGCTGCTGTTCAGACTGGGCGGCGGCCGGGAGACGGGTGTGGGGGGGACACCGCGCCAGACGTGGGGCCGGGGTCAGAGGAGAGGTGTGTGTGTGCATGTGCACGCACACGCATGAGGGTGTTGCATCTGTGAGTGTGAGTGCATGCGTACGCACACGACTGAGCCCACGGGTGAGCCCGAGTGTGTGCTCGTGAGCTTGTGTGTCCATGCATGTGTGCAACCATGTGTGCCCGTGTTTGTCCATGTGGAGCAGAGAAATTCCCCCAAATTAATACAGGAATACTTACAGCAAGACATATTCCAATAAAAAACTGTTGAGAGTAGCACGTTTTAACATCCCGCCAGAAAGCAAACTCGTTACAACCAGGGTGCAGAGAATGGCCGGCCTCCCCCACGACGGACTCAGGGGTAAAGGGACGACTGGGCCACCTGGCCGCGAGCCCAGCCGAGGGGCTCGGGGACACAGACGACAGGGAGGTCTGCCCTGGTAAACACATCGCCAGAACAGTCTTGGGCGGAAGGCCCCGGAAGAGGTGCTGTGCACACACCGCCCGGTGTGGCAGCCACTGCGCCCAGACAGGTGGCTGCCGTGTCCCAGACAGGGGCTTGTTTGTGTGCAGGTCTGAGAACAGATGCTCTCTCTCTCTGTGTGTGGAAGACAACTCGATGACAGAGCAGCAGCGGCATGAAGGCGCCACAGGGGCAGCGCATCCCAGGCCTTGGTGCTGCTGGTGGTGCCCAGAGGCGGGGCAGGTGGGGGCGGGTGTGGTCTGAGAACAGCAGGTGGGAGCAGAAGCCAGGGGCCCGCCCTGAGCCAGCGGGGCCCGGACCACCTGTCGCACGACAGGTGCAGACCCGCCCCCAGTTTACGGCTCTGCTCCTGGGGCTCCGCAGATGCGTGATTCCCCACGTTCCCCACCTGACAGGGTTTCCCGACTCGTCCTCCGCTTCCCCTCCTCCTGGGCCGCCATCTCCATCTCCTCGCTGCGGGAACCGACTTCAGGCCGCCGGAGGCTGGACCAGAGGCTGCCGGCAGGCAGGCCTCCATGTCTGTGGGGCTCAGGCGGCCGCCCTCCCGCCAGGGACACAAGTCTGTGTGCCTGTTCCCATTCGGACCGCGGATCCGGTGGCACATTCTAGACTCGGGTGCCCGTGGGCCGTGGCTGCTGCGGTGTGGGACCCAAAACCCAGGTTCCACCGGCCTCCTGTCACCCTGGCCACGGGCACCCGGTCTCCCACGGCGCTGACGTTGACTCTTCGGAGCAGCTGGACTGACCCTCGAGGTGGGAAGTGTGTCTCAAGAACAGAGGACACACTTCCGGAACGGTGCTCTCAACATTTTGGATAATGGTTCACGCACAGGCCTGTCACTGCAAGTTTCTCCAACCAATCACACTGACTTCCTAGGGGAAAGAAAACTGCTGTAAAAAAGAAAAAAAATACAGCACAACTCTGCATGTCCCCCCGAACAGGGACACCCGGCCCCTGGCCCTCCACGCAGTAGAGTCTGGAGCGGGGCCTCCTAGGGGCTCCCAGCTGAGTTCCGACTGTCCCGGGCTGACGAAACGCAGTCCCCTGCCTGCCCTGGGCCGCCTGGCAGGGGGAGCCAGGGCATCTGACCCCGGGAGGCCTATCGGGTTGTTCGTCCGGGCAGGTGAGGCCTGTGGCTCGAACTGTAGCGCGTCCGTGGCCTTGCGGGGAGGGAGGGCGGGAACAGCCTCGCACAGAAAGGCCCTGCTCTCCTGGGGGTCACGTGCCCCCTTTATTCTCACAGTGACGTTCCATCTCCCCACACCCGCACAGGCGCACGCGGTTCACGGTGACAAGGCCGGCCTCCCTGGCTCACGCTTCAGTGCCTGTGGGGCCGCAGCCCGGCCCCTGCGAGCAGGACTCAGGGTTCCCCGCTGACCCCATCCAAACCCCTCCCGCTCTCTGACCAGCCATCTGTGCAGTTTCCCTCCAAGAGCTCTGATGCACGTCTCGTAAAATTCAGGATTCAGGCCCCCCACGGAAGGGGGGGCCTTTGTCCTGGGTGGGGCCGTGAGGCCCACCCGCAGCCCGGGTGGTGGTGGCTCCCTGCTGGGCCTGGGCTCCGGTCTCCAGGGTCTTGCTGGCCGCCGCCAGGCCCCGGCCGACTTGAGCGTGGAGGGCGAGGGCCCTCCCACAGCTGCACGTGGACACCTCCAGACAGAGACTCGGGAGAAGCCTGGGCAGCGACCTCGTGGGTCTTCAGCTGATGCTCCGAGAGTGAGCGCTTTCGAAAGAGCGGCAGGACTGACAGAATCGTCAGAATTCAAGCCAGGTTTGTTCAGTGGGAAAAAAGACCGAGGCGAAAACTCTAATCCTAAATAACAGTGACATCAGCGAGAAGCAACGCCAGGGAAGAGACAGATGAAAAACATAATTATATCTTTGTGGTAATTTTAACATCATGTGAAAAAATAATCTGGGGAATATAAAAATGTGGAGAGGAGTTGACCGTGTATGTTTTTAATATTTGAGGAGAGGCTTTAGTGTTATTGTGGATTCTTTGTCTGAAGTGTTTTTCTGATACGTGTTATTAGTGAAAAATAAGAAAAATGAAAAAAGGCCATTTTGACGTTACACGCCTTCCAATTCCCGGAAGGTGACATCAAAGCCAGGCCGCCGGGTCTGGCCCGTCCGGTGCCCTGAGGGCAGGGGTCTGTGATGAGGGGCCGCCCGGACGCCGCCCTGGAATGCGGGTGTGGCTGGAGCAACGACTTCCCAGGGAAATTAACCGTCTGTCCGAATTTTCCTCACCAGAAACCCGAGCCATTCCTTTCGCAACAAAGCCATCCCTAGCAGAGCGCATTCTCCAGGGTTTGGAGAGAGAAGAAAACACTCAGAGGCAAAATTTGGTGCAAATTCTGAAGCTGGAGGAGGACGATGACCCTGCCGCACTGGAATGTCACAGCACAGCCTGGCCTCGCTCTCCCGGCTGCAGGGGCCACTGGCGCTCTTGTCCTGAGGCCGAGTGTTTTTTCAGCAGAAACTGCACAAGCCACTCTTCAGAAGTGGCAGGGGCTCGGGGAGGGCCACCTTCCACGGGGACCCTCGTGTGCCGGGCAGCGCTCTTCCCCAGACGAGCGAGGCTGGGCCCAGAGCGCCGTCTCAGTTTATGGTTGTCATCAGACCAGTGCTGTCCCCTGGGGTTAATCAGTGGGAAAACGAGAAACTACCTAACAAGCGTGAGAAGCACGTCTCCCCCCATTCGCCTCCCACGGGTCCTCGCGTCTTTGCCAGGGCAAAGGCAACCACCTCCGGTCTTCAGGAACCCTGTGTGTCCTAGGGGACACAGCTGACGCCACAGTCACAGAAAAGGGTAAACTGGAGACGTTAGGAGCGTCCGTGCATCGAATGACAATGGGAAGAAAGCAAACAGACGAGACACACGTTTGTACCCGACAGCAACCACCCTGCAGGTCACTCGGCAAAGGCTGATGGACCCGGATGAAACGCTGAGTGGTGGCGGCACAGGGATGTCACGCAGGGTGTCCCGTGCAGGGTGTCATGTGCAGCGCGAGGAGATAGCCCAGGCTACTGGCCCTCCCTGGGGGCCGGAGGTCGAAGCCACGCCAAGGAGAGACTTGTGCTCTCAACACGAAGTCCATAACCAAAGGGACGGAAAATGCCAGTTTTGGAGAAGACCGATTTCTGCCAAGAATGACTTCAAGAAGAGAAACCTGATCCGGCTGGTGCCTGAGCTTCGATGTTCAGTGTGGGCAGGAGGAGGGTGGTGGGAGCCAGGGCCTCTGCCCCTCAGGCAGGAGCCCACGGGGTTCGAGGAGACGCCCGCGGCCGAGGAACAACACTTCCCTCGAGGCGGTGTCACTGGGCTCCCGGCTGCGGTCTTCACGGGCAGGGGCCCGTCCGCTGAGGCATCACCTGGCGTGACCCGGGCGACAGGCTGGGGGTGGAGAGGCGGGTGTGCCACGTCTGCCCCCGGCTCCCCGGTGGGTTTCTGTGCGTGGACGCAGGTGGTCGGAGCCGGGCGGCACGTGGGCTGGAGTCCGGGGCCCGGCGCAGGCCGGGGCTCACCTGAAACTCAGCACCCTCTCGGCCGTGTGTCCCCACCCACGGCTCCTTGGTCTGTGACTAAAATTAACTGGACAAACTCTGTGTTTTGAGCTCTGCTCGGCACAGGTTGTTCAGAACTTTTCTTTATGTGCTTTTAGTGTCTGCAGAGTCAGCCCTGGAGCGGCCACCAGCCAGGGGCGCTGCTTCGAGGTCCCCTTCCATCGCGCCGAGAAAGGGCCGCGAACGGGTGTGCGGACGGCGAGGTCGGCGGGCAGGGTCATTCCACTGCAAGGTTGGCAAACACATTTCCCAGCTATTTTAACAAAAATGAGGTTTTGAAAATGGAGGTGCAGAAGTGGGCTGCAGATGCTCGGAATAGGAGCCCCGCCGACCCCTGGGACAGCAGAGCTGTCTGTCATAAATGGCGCACAGACGGACGGACAGATGGATGGAGCTGCCCGGCGGACGGCCTCCGCTCTGCAGGTTGGACCGCTCCCACGTCGGCTGCGAGGGGAGACGGTGTCCTCGCAGCCGAGGCGTGACCGCGGCCTGTTACCGTTCTTCACCACCGGCGTGTGCCCCGAGCAAACACACTGTGGCTGGCAGTGGAGCAGCTGAGGCAGGGCGTTGGGGTCCCCACACTCCCACGTGGGACTCGGGCCACGGCCCGGGGTGGGGTGGGCAGACCCCAGGGGCCTGGTCATCACCTGGGCCCCAGTGCTGTTTCTTTCCCCCAGAAGGAACTTGTTTGCTCACTGATTCCCCTTTTCCCCACAGACGAGATACTTGGAGCTGGTGACGGTCACTCACACGTCCACGCAGGTTTTCAGTGGGGTCGGCACCTGTGAGTATTTCCTCCTCCGTCCTGCGTTTATGATGCGTGGACGGGGCCAATGTGGGGTCACAGCCACCGAGGACACACCGCTCAGCCCGGCAGGACCGGGGAATGTCCCACGTGGGAACCCAGAGTTTCTGCCGCCGAGGAGGAGACACCACCGTCTCCCATGAACATAACCCGCCTGTCAGGGTCCCGGCGCAGCCAGCCAGCCAGGGCTGATGTGGGGGACCCAGCCCCCCAGGTCCGAGCGGAAGCTCACACTCCCTTACGAGCCAGAGGTGAGGACCTGGAGCAACACGGTTGCTCCTTCTTGACGGCGCGGTCAGAACTGAGCCTTCCGGTGTGACCCTGAGTAGAAGTGCTGAGAGCAGCTCTCTGCCGAGCACGCAGCACCCGTGGGAGAAGCCCGGCCGGCCGATCACGAAGGGCTGGCAGAGCAGGGCCTCCAGAGGCACCCGTGTCCCGTCGGGGACACACACCCTCCTCCTCCCTCTGGTCCTGTTTGTGCTTTGGGTGCCAGGAGCTTACGGTACACGGGGGCCCTGACTCATCTTCGGGGCAGCAGCAGCCGCTTGGAGGAGGTGAGGCCCCAGCCAAGACCTGAGAGCTGGACGGGGCTCGGGGTCAGAGGCCGGGGGCCCTGCTGACTGGGTCTGGAGCAGGGGTCGGGCAGGGTGTCTTGCTTGTTACACCAAAACTGGCTGAAAGGATCAGAATGTGCCAGGACTCCTGACCTTGCAGCTGGTCAGGTGAACACAGGCAACCCAAAGCCTTGGGGAGATGTGACTCAGTCACGTGACTGTGACTCAGACCCTGGGTGACAGACACAGCTCCCGACTCCGGTGCTCCTGCACAGATGGCCACTACCAACCCTTGAAATGGGACTTCTAGCCCTGGACTCAGCGTTCGGCTGCAAGACAGTGACCGGACTGGGGATGCCTGTGTCCTGGGTGTGTGGCCGTGTCTGTCCACCTCCCGGCCCCGCACCTGCAGGCTCAGCCGCCCGCACAAGTCTCCCTCGCTGTCCTTCTCTGGGCTGTGGGGCCCCGGGCCTGGTCCAACACCCACAGGTCTGGGCAGCTCTTCTGGTCAGTGGCCCTTTCTTAGCAGGACGCTTAGCGGGATGCAGCCACACTCCCATGAGGGCAGCTCCCCAGCAGCCACGGCCCCTGAGGAGGTGGTGACAGTGACATTGGCCAGGTAGGAGGGACATCCGCCTCGCTGTCCTTGGTCCTGCAGTGAAACAGGTGTGAGGAGCCCCTCTGCCCGTGCCACCAGGCCACCACACCGTCCGCACGGCCTGCACCAGGGCAGCCAGCGTTGGCAAAACCAGCCCCAACTGTTTTAAATCACGTGAGGGCCGAATCGGGGTCGTGGAGGTCAAGTCCGTCAAATAAAAGTAAAAGGAACGTTTGTGGACTTGAGTGTTTGCTTTACTAAGCAATTTACCGTGGGATTATTTTGATGAATGAAACCCTTAAGTGCTCTTAAAATACTAATTAGTACTTTGAGACTGCATCTGGCTAACATTCATTTCCTTATAGGTTTGCTTCCAAATTTCTGTTAAAAAACCCCAGGGAAAGAGAAAACAACAAAAGCCCAAAAAGTGCTGTAAACAAAAAGGCCACTGCAAATTTATAAGATTCTGGGGCCAAGTTCCCACAGTCATGGGCCAGGGGAGTTTGGGTTCAAGTTTTTAAAAACCCTAAGGTTTTCCTGTTCTCCAGCCTCTGAAACAAAGGGCAACGCCCCTGAAGGGGTGGGCGGGGCCCCGAGTCCCCCTCCCTGAAGCCTGGGTCCTCAGTGCCACCCCCACCAGGAGCCCCTCTTTCTCCAGGCAGAAGACCAGCTGGAGGAGCCTGCGTGTGCCCTTGAGAAGCAGGGGGCGGGCGAGCCCCAAAGGCCACAGGCTCCTGTACTCAGGCATTTTAAAGTCACAATTATCTATGGCCTCTGGTACTTGAAGCGTTTTTTTTTTTCCTTTTGCCGTAGGTTTGAGAGCTGGATGCAGGACTTGGTGAAGACCCCGCCTCGGGCTGGCAGAAGCACACTCACAGCCTCTGCTCCTGGGAGGGAACCGGGTTCCAGTGGGCCTGGCGCTGGTGTGAGGAGAGCGCCCTGGCCGCGCAGGCCGAGGTTGCGGGGGCTTCTCTCGTCTGGTCTGCGTTGGAGGCTGTTTCCCGTGGCGGTGCGCCGAAGGTGCCGTGAACCGCGCTTCATACAGCGTTACGAGGGGGCCTTTCCTTAACCTTTGTAAGTTGCTTTGTTTCAGGTGTGTTCCTCTTCGAAATGGGACGTTGGTTTTTCAGCTAATTTAGACTCATGTGTTAACGCAACATTTTCTAAAATAACTCCATGGCTCCATGGGTTGGGTGCCATCCCGGGAAGCAAAGGTCGCTGGTTCGATTCCCGGTCAGGGCACTTGTCTGGATTGCGGGCAGGGTCCCTGGTTGGGGGTGTGTGAGAGGCAACTGATCCGTGTTTCTCTCCCTCCCTTTCTCCCAGCTTTCCCACTCTTCATAAATAAATACATTCGACCTTAGAGAGGAAAGACACCTGGCTTTTTCCAGGTGTGGTTTTACTCTGGTGAACGGCTTCTGGGTTAAATGGCCTCTAATCTCTGCTTCTCCGGATCACATCCTAAATCCCTGTATAATTAGTTCTCCTCTCATCCCAGGGTGAACCCCAAACCGTCCCTTGCTTTCCAGTCTGTGACAGACGCTCTGTTGTGACTGCACGGTGGCCACATTGCTGGGAGGCGTCTGCGACCGTCGGTGGTCTGAGCTCCTGCAGAGGTGACGTGGGGCTGCGTGGGGGGGGGCACAGCGAGCCGCACACGTGACCGGCGTCTCCGCCTGGAGCAGACCCCGCCCACCGGCCACCCAGCTCCCGGACATGGGACCCTGCTGGTGGGAACAGAAGTGGCCGCCCAGCCCTCGGGGCCCACACAAGCCACAGCACGTTCTCCGTGAAAGTGTCGTCCCTTCAACTCTTGGAAAAGAAACTATGGAGATGGCGAGTGGTCACTCACCGTAACGGATCTGACAGGGCGTTAAAGTGTGATCCGTGTTCCGCTCACTTCTGTGCGTCCTCTCCCTTCCCCACGTCACCGAGCGTGGGCTCCGGCGTCTTTCACCGCTGGGACCATGAACCCGGCTGCCCCGTTGTCCTACGTGCCCTGAAGGGGAAGGAGGAAGACGCGGGGGTGCCCGGGGGATCGTCACCTGTCCCTGCCCCCACACGCGTCTCTGCCTGAGTCCCCGGCACCTGCAGCTGTGACCCAACCAGTTGGTCACAGCTGCGTCTGTCGTGTACGTGGCAATGGAACCGGATCCTAAGGCCAGAGGTCGGGTGTTCGTGGGCAGCCTCCAACAGACACCCGGACACGGGATTCCTGCAAACCCGAGAGTCACGCTCCTCCCGCGACCGCACACTCGCCGATGACAAAGCCGTGGAGGCGCCCGAGCCCGGCCTCCCCCCTCCCGTCCCAAGGAGGCTAGACGCGGTGACAGTGACAGCCATGGTTGGCAGACACTGATTTTAAAGTGAACGTCATGGCACACATACATGCTGTATGTGTTTTAACACGTGACGGGCACACGTGTGCACGCGTTTGCTCTGGCAGCTGATGGCAGAGTGTGGAGACCGACAGCTGGGCTGCAGTCCCAGCCTCACTCCACTTGCCGGTGCCCTCGGGCCGACCTCGGCAGTCCGCCCCGTCCCCTCACTGTCCCGGTCCTTCCACGCCCTGTGGCAGCCAGCCGGTCCCAGGAGTTGTGTCCTGTGTTGTCCGGAGGTCCGGTGGGATCGCAGGGAACGCTGCTGGTAGAGTTCAAGGGTGGCGCTGACCGCGGGCTCACGCACACGCCCCACCGCCCTTCTCACCGTCACAGATGGTCCCGTTCTTTAACCCGTTCTCAGAAAACCAGGCTCTGGACCCTGAAAAGTGAAGGGACTTCCCCCAACTACAAAACCACCTCACTCCGCACCCTGAACTCTCTCCGGGTCGTGTGAACGAAGGCATTTTGTGAGGAAATTCGTTCTCGGCTTATTAAATGAGCTGCATTCCCTGCCCCGCGCTCTGTCCCCGTCTGGAGTCTGGGCTCGGGAACGCGGGCTCCGTGCCGTTTCCCGTCCTCACCCCTGCCTGTGTCACACACGAAACACGGGCGTCTTCGTGGGGACAGTGGCAGGTGTGCTGGTTTTCTTACCTCTCAGCCTCGTCCTTCTTGTGGCTGGAGCCTGATTCTCCAAACAAACGGCAGTTCCAGGACCCCATAGCGCCTGCCCCCAGGCGCGCCTGCCTCGGCTCCCGGTGCCCTGGGCTCAGTGAAGAAGGAAGACGCGCGAGCCAATTAGCACGAAGCTGCAAATGGCCGGTGTCACATAGGCAGGTGATCAGGCACAGAGAACAAGTTCAAGTGCTCGTGGCCCAACATCCTGAGTTTACTCCACGCGATGACCGTGGAGCCATTCCCTGGACCCTGGAGAGGACGCAGCTGTGAGTCCAGCGGGTTAATCCCAGCGGCCTGGTGCCAGTCGCCGGCGTCACGGCGCGGTGACGTCACTCTGTCCTAGACGAGCTTAGGCGGAGCAGTTATCGCGATGTTTTTCGTGAATTACAAGCCTACCGGATTCCCCCTTTGCTCACCGGAAATACCACCTGTGCACGCGGAGAGACTGTTCCAGGTCATGTTTGCACGACTTTCCCAGGAAATGGGGGCCCGTGTGCCACGTCTGGATGTTTCCACAGCTGGGCCTTCACGTTCACACAGTGTGAAAGTGCGTGTGTCTGTGTGTCCGTGTGCCACGCCTGACTCGCCCTGCGCTCTGGGTGTGCGGCGGACCTCGTGGCCCCACCCACAGCGGAGGGTTCCCCCCCCCCCCCCCCGGGTTCCCAAGGCCCGGCAGTCGGGGTGGAGCCACCCCCAATGCCGCCTCCTGCTCGGGCTCCGCAGGCCCCCCTCCCCCTCTCCCAGCTCTGCCCCTAAAATGCTTCGGGACCTTTCCAGCTAAAGCCCCTTACTGTGATTTTCCTATTTCTTTTGTTGGGCTGAAATTCACAAGACATACAATTAAGCATTTGCAGGTGGACAAAATGGTAGCTTTCAGCACATCCGCCGTGGTGCTGGTGCGCAACGTCCCCGTTACGCAGTCCGTGTTCGCCCCCGGAAGGAAGCCTGCCCGGTAAGTGACAGCCCCGTCCCTGTGGCCACCCGTCTGGTCTCTGTCTGGGGAGTGGCCCCTTCTGGACTTTTCGGACGTGGAAATGCGCCCCACGCGGCAGGGACGCTTTCAAAGTCCGTTCACACTGGCGTGTGGCAGCAGCGACCCTCCGCACGGCTGGACAGCCCCCACTGTGTGGACACACGCGTTCGATGTGCCCGGGGGGGGGATGGCGCCGCCCGACACGTGCTCGGATGGGTCTGGGGGTCATGAGTGGGAGTCTCATCTTTGGAACCAACGTGTGGGCGTCAGCCGTCCCCAACGTGGCAGACGAAAGGTCACTGGCCAGATCACAGTCGGGCTTTGAAGTTGGTGACGGAGCACGAAGGGTCATTTGTGGTTCTCACAGGACCTTAAACTGCACTGGCTTCCTGGATGCTGAGGTTTCCGTGGGGGGTGGTGTCGAGGTTGGACCTCTTACAAGAACTGGACGTGTAAACACTGCCCTGGGAACGTTTCATCCAACGCCAGAGATGCCGCCGGGCCCCCGCTGTCCGCTCAGGTCGGGCTCAGCTGCTCGAAACCGGGCCACTGAGGAGCCCTGCTCTGTGGTGCTGACCCGAGGCCGGAGGGTCGCAGGTCGGAGTCAGCAAGTACGTCAGCTGCTTTTCGGGGCCGGTTTTGAAGACGGCAGGAAAAACAAACCTCCCGGGGAGTAGAAGTGGCCTCTGCGCTGTTTATGCAGGACATCGGGGGTGGTGTCCCTTGCTTTCTGTTCCTAAGCAGAGACGTCCTGCCTTTGTAAATCCCATCTCACGAGGCCAGGACAGAGATGTTTCTGTGTGGTTTGCTGCTCCAAACAGAAACTTGGATTTAACAAACTGTTTTTTTTTGTCTGACGGGTTCAGAAGTATGGGTTATTGATCCTATATTGATCAGAGGTATGGGATACTTTGGATGAGTTATAATTTATTTGTAGTTGTTGCCTGAATTACATGGCAACTTATTCACGTGGTCACTTCTTACCCACGTCACACACGCAACTTTGACCAGCTGCCCAGGCAGCAGCCAAGTCATCTGGGGGAGGGTCGTGGGCTTGGTGCTGTTCATTGGGATGCTGGCGGCTCCTTTTCCAAGTCTTCCTTGGGGCGCTGTGCACAGACCCGAACCCCATGAGGAGACGCGCACCACCCAGTGGGGTCCGAGAAGAGGAGTGTGTTGTCATACTGGTTCATTTTGCAGGGGATCCAGCCACTGCCCTAAAAATAGACCAACATCGGCCAAGGAGGCCACTCGACGCTGACTCTCGGGGTCTCTGTGCTGGTCCCACGTCTCCCAGCAGGTGGATCGCACCCACTTCCAGACCCCACGTCCATGCACAGTTCCCAGGGAGCAGACCCGACGGGGGGGGTCGGACCCAGGGCCCTCGGGGCCTGCAGCCCGGCGAGGAGACGCTTCTGCTGCCCGTGCAGGGGGCCGTGGCCCTGGTCAGAGTGGGCTTCTCCGTGGCTCCTGGTAGTTGTCTTCCTTGCAACCACCCACATCTGACCTCCCACCACAGAGGAGCTGAGTGGGCAAATCGAAATCGTGGTCAGCATTCGGGGCCCGCGTGGGGATGCTCACACACAACCTGTGCCCGCCCCCCGCCACAGGTCACGGCTCCCTCGCCCACCACACGCCACGGCGCCTTCCCTCACTGGGCCCCCTCGGGCCACTTCCCCATTGCCTGACCGGTGCCGCCTCCCTCCCTCCAGACCTCTGACTGTTCTTGCCCACGTGTCCTTTCTTGTCCCACACCGTGCACAGTGGCCAGGTGTGCAGCCTGGGATGCCACCCCTCTCTCCTCCTGGGGCAGTAACTGCCCTCTGTGATGAAGCCGGGCCCCTCCCTCCTCTGGTGGAGGACCATTCGG